CGGCACCGGAGCATGCGGGCGACATCGACCCGTGGCGCACGGACAAACATTTGTGTTTGATCTGTGTTGTCAATTTTTCTCGTTTTTTTCCTGACTTTCGTGGTTGGTTCTATGTGATGACGTCGTCACTGGTTTTGTAGAGAGACCCGTCAGAGATGGCGTGGCTAACCCGGGTGCCTTGGTTATGTGCCTGATCGTGGAAGACCCCTTCAATGTGGAACGATTCTTAGCTATTGTCGATATTTTCACTGCGTGCCTAACACAGACGATCGGGAGAGGTTCGGGTGATTGTCCATTGCAATCATGGCTTTGGTTGGTTGTTCTTTTTCACTGTACGTCCGCAGACACATTCTGACAGCACTTCAGACAGCAGCTTTGTGCCCCGCCAGCTTCTTGTTCCATGCCTACCATGCATGGTGTTTTTGTACAGACAGCAGATGGCTCCAGCACTTTCGTGACCACGGGCCGAGAGCTTTTGCTAGATTTTGGCATTTAGCAACTGGCATACGGTTTAATGTGAAGTCAACAACATTGACTTCTTCTCGGACTCACTTTACTAGGTATCACTTATCGGGCCAACCCGACGTCTATGCCCAGGTCATATCCCCTCACAAGAAACGCTAAAATCAACCGAAAATTGGAAAACAAATTTGGTACTACACAGATTTTTCCAAGGGTAGGTTCTGTAGGGTACTCACAGATCCACACCGGTGGTAGGTACCCTCGGTACCTACCCACAGACGCGTTCTGTGAGTTATGTGAAGGTCGCACCACAGTACCCTATTGTTCTGTGAGTTCTTCTGTGACAGACCCAGCACCATACCGAACTTTTCTGTGAGTTCTGTGACAGACCCAGTACCCTACCGAGCTTTTCTGTGACAGCTCGCTTACAGGACTCGAAAGTTCTGTGAGTTCTGTGACGGCTCACCACAATACCCTATAGTTCTGTGAGTTCTGTGACAGATCCGTACCCTACCGAACTTTTCTGTGAGTTCTGTGACAGACCCAGTTCACTACCGAACGTACCCTCTGGTTCTGTACACCCGGGTCAACAACACCCGCGATACGGGTAAACATTTGTGGAACTACCCTCCACAAGTGTGATTACCCCGGTGGGCTGACGTCACCTCTACGAACCAAACTTGAAGCGTACCCTCTACCCTCACGAACTCACACACAGACCGGCGGACCCTGCAGATCTGTCACACATCCCACACATCCCACGAACAACGCACGGTATCGGTTTGAGAGGTAACATGAGCGCTGTGGACCCCAGCAGTTCATCTACGCCAGAAGCCGCGGGCGAGACTCAGGCGAGCTCGCACGCGGCGGAGGCAGGTGTAGGCGAAGATAGCGCTGGCGCGGGGCAGGGAGATTCACCCGAGGTAGAGGTTGTTGCGGGCGATAGCGCGGGGGGCGTACCTGTCATCCTACCGGCGCCCGTCTACAACAAGAAGGGGGAGGTGGTGGAGGTAGACCGGGGTGTTGTCGACGCGGTGGATAGATTCCGCGCGCCCGCTGACTTCGTGAGAAAGGGCTCCCGCGACAAGTCCTTCATGTACTCGCTGGGGGTGTATGTGGAGAACACGGACCCTGGACGGAAAAATCATAAGTTCTACTGCCTGGCAAACGCCTACTGCAGGATTGGGGTCGAGGGTCCGTGCGTACGCGCGCACATTTCAATTTATCTTGAATCTTGGTCAAGGCACAAAAGTGTGCAAGTACAAATTAAAATTCACGTGGGTACCGCTGGTTCAGCGCTCACTTTTTTATGAGACAGAAAGAGGTACTGGGTTGAGAGACCGGGATGGTTTTGTAAAGTGAAGACAACAACAACAACAACAACAACAACAACAACAACAACAACCGCGGGTAGGTACCGTCTTCTACCCCACAAAGGAGTTCTGTGAGTTCTGTGAAGGTCGCGCCGCAGTACCCGACAGTTCTGTGAGTTCTGTGACAGACCCAGTACCCTACCGAACTTTCTGTGNATTCACGTGGGTACCGCTGGTTCAGCGCTCACTTTTTTATGAGACAGAAAGAGGTACTGGGTTGAGAGACCGGGATGGTTTTGTAAAGTGAAGACAACAACAACAACAACAACAACAACAACAACAACAACAACCGCGGGTAGGTACCGTCTTCTACCCCACAAAGGAGTTCTGTGAGTTCTGTGAAGGTCGCGCCGCAGTACC